GGCAGCGACACGTTCGCCTGCCCGTCCTGCTGCGCGGTTCTCCCCTCGTAGTCGTGGTTATATGTAAAACCACGACGTTCTCGTTTATTACGAGAGCATTCGCGTTCGCGCTCGCATGAGAATAGCCCTACTCCATGGTCTCGTGCGACTGAAAAACATCTGGAATGCATGAAGTAGAGAGGACACGCTTCCCATGTATCCTGCTCGGGAGGAAATTGAAGCCAGCTTACTCGGTACCTGCGCGCGGACGGAACCGTGCGCTCTCATGAGCCAGTATAACACTGCTCGAGGAGGATTCTCGGAGAGCCAGGACGATGTTGATCAGGCCGTAAACAAGGCTGCCGATGCTCAACTGGAAGATAAGGCTGCCCTTAAGCGTGCTTCACTGGCGGAGAAGACCGCGATTGATACCTGGCAGTCGAACCGTGAATTGATCGAACGGTTGAGGTTTCTGGGGCTCAGGTCCTTGGTTGTGTACAGGCGTCATCGCAACGGTTACCGATGTCATCGGCGCGTCGAGTGCGACGGGAAGGACGATCGACCTACGACCCCTGGAGCCGGCATCGAAGCCAAGCCGTGAAGCGTAGCCGGGCGATATTCCTTCAGCCGCCCGGCATAGAATGTCGGGTGGAGTCGCAGTGAAGAGGGGACGTCGAGTGTATAATCGTCGCCGATTGCCTTCAGAAACTTGAATGGACCGATGAAGCGTGGCGCGAGTTTGCTCGCGCCTAGATTAGTAACCGCTGAATCCCTTAAACCTTTCGTAGACAGTAAAAAACAATTGTCTTTCTCTAACTTGCTCATGTTCTTTCTACCATGTTTGTCATCGTTCTCTTTCTGTTTATCTCCCGCAGATTGTAGTGCGTCGCGTACAAACCGGGTGACGGCTTGACGTTGGAGTATAAATTCCGACACAGCCATGTCATCAATTAATCGCGCCGACTCAATCGGCGCGTAGTTGGCAGTAGGGGAACGCTTACCCGAAGACGGGTCAATCAATGTCTGCGCAGTCCATCGAGCTAATGGGGACGCCAAGTCTGGTGGCGTCAAAATGGCCGTCTTTGACTTGGATCGTGTTACTGCATTCGCGCTCAAGATACCGTGAGCTGCACTCGATCCTTGTTTATAACCTTTATCCCCCCCAGAGTGGAGCCACTAGGTGCCGTGGGTCGCCTCACGGCCAAGAGAGTAGGAACACGAGGGTGACGAGCCGAATTCACAAAAAATGGCGTCAACCCTGTTGACGCGTGTACGGCGTTGTTGAGTGCGAACTCAGCGAGTGATAAAAATGCACTCCAACTTGTGAATGACGCAGCGTAACTTCCAAGAACGTCTTCGAGGACCCGGTTCACGCGCTCGGCTTGCCCATCCGTTTACGTATGGGCCACAGTCGACATCAGCAATTTTGTCCCGAGGAGCTCGAGCGATGACGTCCAAAATGAGGACGTAAATCGCGGATCACCGTTCAAACTAATGTTTTCTGGAAGTCCATGATGACGGAACACCGCGTCGATGAAGTGCACCGCGGTATCTACCGCGGTGACCTTAGCGTGAACAGGCACGAGATGTGTCATCTTGCTGAATCTGTCAACAAAGACCAAGATGCCCGTTCGAGCTTGGCTATCGGGCGCAAGCCCGAAGATGAAGTCCATCGAAACTGATCTCCAGGCCTCTGCTGCAATTGGCAACGATCGCAAGGGAGCCTGTGACGATGGAGATGGCTTCACACGCTGGCATATTTCGCACATTCGGATCCAGTTGCGTACCCACTTATACATGTAGGGCCAGAAGAAGTCTCGAGACACAGCCGCGAAAGTCTTTTCGCGGCCTAAATGGCCTCCAGCAGGAGCATCGTGATACTCGTGAATGATTCTTGCACGCAAATCCATGTCATTGGCAATCACCGTGCGAGGAGAATCGAATTGGTCGATGCTATACAGAAGCAAATCGCCATCTAGACTGTATCGATGAATATGGTCGCGCTTAGTTCGGGATAATTCTCCCAGTGCAGCATCACTAGGAGCACGCAGATACTCGATAACGTCTGCATAATTTGAATCGCCCTTGTACGCTGCGACGATCTCATCAAATAAACACGGCTCGGGTGTAACCCGAGTTAAGTTCAGCGATACACACATTGCACATCGGTCATCATCGTCCTCGTCATCAGTAGCCTGGCGACTCATAGCAGTCCGAGGATCGTAGCCGGGATGTCGTGACAGAGCGCCAGCAAGAATATTAGTCTTGCCTGGCTTGTAATGCACGACGAAGTTGTACTCAGAGAAGAAAGAGAACCATCGTGCCATCGGTTGGGACAAGTGTGGGCTCTATCGCTGTGCGCAGCGATGCATGGCCGGTATACAGAGCAAATGTACGTTCACCAAGGAGATGCACGCGAAAATTGATGAGTACATAACGCATCGCTAATAACTCCTTGTCGTGAACCGGATAGTTCTTCTCAGCTGGATTTACCTTTCACGACTGATAGCTTACGACTCGTTTACGGCCCTCATCATCAAATTGCATGAGAGAACAACCGATTGCAAAATCACTGACATCGCAGACCACGTGGAACGGCTTGGAGTCGTCTGGTAAAACCAGCACTGGCGCTGACGCCAGGCTCTTCTTCACTGCGGCGATTAATACTCGGGACACCAGAACACGTGGCGTCTTTCTTCAAGAGTGACGACAAAGGCTGGATAGAACCAGCATAATCCTTCGTATACTTGTGCAAGTGATTAGTTAAGCCGATCCACTGGTGCAACTCCGAAGAGTTCTTGGGTGTGGGCCAAGAACAGATGGACGACACCTTCTCTGGATCATCTCGAACTCCCGATTTACTCACATAGCAACCCAACACCGGAATCTCCGGTGCACAAAAGACACACTTCTTGAGATTCGCATACAACTTGTTGTCCCGCATAACTTGAAACACTTGCTTCAGGTGTTGAAGGTGAACTTGGACATCGCTGAGGTTGCCCTTAGTGCGACTGTGGACGAAGATGTCGTCAAAATAACTTGGAGCAAAGTTCCGAAGGGGTCTCAACACTTGAGACACCATGCGATTGAAAGTGGCCGGAGCGTTCTTCAACCCTTGTGGCATGACCAGCCACTCCCATAACATGCCATTTGGGGTGCTCACCGCGGTGAGTGGGATATCGCTCGGTCGCATCAGAATCTGATAAAGCCATCGGTTGAGTCGATGGCACTGAAGATGACACTTCCTGACACGGAGTTTAGCACCATGTACTTCTTGGGAATAAGCGTTTGTGCAGGAATAGTGGCATCATTTTGCTTATTAGCTGCGTACACTATGTGCCAGCCTCCCGTAGCCTTCTTCACGCAGAAGGTTGGAATCGAATGTAGTGAGATACTTTCACGCACATGATCCGCTTTGCGGCGGCCTTCGAAGAATGCGTCAATAGCTTCGACTTGATCTCGAGGCAATGGCCACTGCCGTGTTACACAATACTTCGACCCTGGCCCGAGATCAATCTCGTGCCGAACACCACGGTCAGCAGATAGTTCAGCGGAATCTTGTCGGGGAACACGTCTGCATACCCACGAGCAATGTCATAGACAGGAATAAGTAGCCAGTGGAAAACCGTGTGAGGGGTAGCTCCTTTGAACTTCGGAGGGTCCATCCGAATGGTTCTCGGCTGAGTAGGCCGGTCAGAGAGCATCTCAACATTTCTGTTGAGCGCCTCATTACGTGCCTGCTCAAGCCTAAGCTCATCCTGAGTCTTATTGATGGACTCAGCGGTGGCTTGGCTGTTTACCTCGGACGCGTTTCTACGCTGTCCGAGCACAAACGCCTCAAATTGCTCCAGCTGAGCAACATGTTTCTCAGGAGGACAATGCAAGAGGTTGACCAGGACTTGTTCACCAAGTCCCTGCGCCATATGCTCTGCCAACTCCCTATGGTGTGAGGGAATTCACTCCAGTCCATATTAAGGACCATGTCAACCACACTCACGCTCAGCAAGACGGGTTGTGGAAAGGATTACTAGTGCTACCAAGTGTAGACAGGCACTTCTACGAAGTTGCCTCGTGCTACTAGCACTCACCTTCAAAAAAAGAGAGAAGTGGTTAGACCGTCTTACCTTCGCGTGCGAGGGTGGTTAGGAGGTTGGTCGACTGCTTAAACAGTCGTATCACCAGTTGCGTCTCGCTTAAGCGAGAGTGCAACGAACAACTGACAAGTGTTCTACTTACGTCACGCAGGAGCTTTCTCAGCTTCTCGTGCGCAGTAGGCAGTATGTAGTAAATTCAAGACTGAGCTATAATCAATGAATTATAATCAGATACAAAACTTAACTACTGATTGGCTATATATGTATAAAGATCGGATACACGACTCTTTAGAAGCGTATCCCGACGCATGAGCTTAATTGTAGTGTTAAGTTTGCGAATGACGTCCTTCTGAGACGTCGCTATGCCTAGCTTCAGCTAGCGTCATCCCTTCCCATGTGAATCCATCAATGGATATCATTTTCACGAGGGTGGATCACGTTTGTGTATTGTACCCAAGTGACAGGTCAAAAGTAATCATGGACACTTTTAGACCAAACATTAAGTATATTACTTAATGTTTACGTGTAACTAGATGCCCTTTTTTTACTGAACCCACGTGTAGAGCAATGTTCAAGCCTGCAAAATGTACTATAGCTTTGGAAAATCTTTACATTTTTTTAACGCGTAATAATCCATGTTCTCCGAGGTTGAACGGGGCAGTTGAGGAGTTACTGTTGGCAGAAAACCATTTAGGTAAAGCGCTATTCGTCACAAACCAATTTGTTAAACGCTCCACACGATTGATAGGAAAACGACTCCAGCAAGCATTGTCATTCTAAGTTCTGGTAAGCAGCATAATGTATGACCATTTTGTAGCCATTATTGTCACACGTCGCAGTTTCTACGTCTGAGTTATCACACGTCGCAGAGTACCCATCCGACAAAATAATAAATAATCGATAATATTTCAAGTCGACTGACCACCAATGCTGCGCCAAATCTGCCGTGGTCGTGGACTCGCTTCGCGTACTCATATCTCTGCTTCAGCGAATAAATTCTCCTTACTATATAGTCGGTATATTAGCTGTACGTCTTGGCTACCATCCGTTGCAGGTTCGACGTCTGATGGTGCTGTATCTGCCGAGAACGAGTCGATTAAAGTGACTCCAATGGTGGCGCAGTATTTGGCTCGCAAGAAAGAGTATCCAGGTGAAAACAATAACAATGTAGCGCTCTAATAAACATCTTTGTAGTAAGAGTAATGTTCTATATACTTGTGATGTGTATGTGCGTTGCAGACTGCATGCTTCTGTTCCAAGTAGGAGACTTTTACGAGTTTTTCGGGGATGATGCAAGACAAGCAGCTCATGTAATGAATAATGACGAGAAAAATGGGGAGGAAATAAGGGAGTTATGATTGATCATATTTCTGTACTGTGAGTAGCTGCTGAACTTGGCACTAACGAGAAAGACCAAGAAGGCGCAACACGTGCTAAGTGAAATGTGCGGATTTCCGATTGGATCCGTGGATACGTTCGTGGAAAAGCTGGTAAATTGTTATAGGTTTAGTGTGAATAAAAGGCTTGTATTGAGAGTTTGTTGTCGCTGATGCGAGTAGGTCATGCATCATGGCGTGAAAGTAGCCATTTGCAATCAAGTCGAGGTGAGTTGGTTGGTATATGTTGATTGTCTGCGAGTGTCTTGATTCTAGTTAGTGAGTGTCTGTACGGCGTGCTTGTGTGGAAATCCAGAGTGCATCAAGTGCGAGAAAGAAAGGGTACAACTCTCTTGTAGACCGTCAAGTTGTACGGATTGTCACGCCTGGGTCACTGGTGGAGGATACGATGCTCACACCAAAGGAGAACAACTATCTCGCCTCTCTCTTTTTTGATAGAGGCACGTGGGGCCTTGCTTGGGCTGACCTATCTACGGGTGAGTTCGTGTCAACCACGTCTACGAGCGACAAGCTTTCCAGCGCAATTTTGCGGTGCTCACCAAAAGAAGTTTTGCTGCCAAGTTCATTGATTGAAAATGGATGCGAGGAGACTAAGTCGCTGCAGGTAAATATGCCTCAGGAGGCCGTTACCATACTGGAGACAGTGCTTCCTGACACTTGCATGAAAACATTTCGGCCTGCTGCAAGTTTTATCCCGCAAAAAGTGAGTAGCGGGTGTCAAACCTGTAGCGTTGCCATCAAGACACTTGCTTTATCTGAACAGGCAGCGATCTCAGCAATATTGGATTACGTGGACTTTACCCACCGTGGATCACGTGCATTGATCCGGTTACCTCTTCATGTTGAATCTTCTGACCACATGATTATCGACATGAGCGCCTGGAGAGGACTTGAGCTTGCAAAGTCGCTTAGTGGTTCAAAAGCATCGAGTTTACTTCAGGCTATTGACTCTACTATAACGCCTGGTGGATCACGGCTTCTTGCGGTAGGTATCAATGCTGCTCACTTACTGTTATATAACCGCACCGACACTGACGACTTGTCAACGTATTGTAGGCTCATTTAGCATCACCGCTAATGAACCTTGAGATTCTCGAGCGTCGATTGAATGCGGTTTCTTATTTCTATGAACAGGAACGTTTACTTCAACGCATGCGAAAACAACTAGCAGAAGTCTTTGACATGGAACGAAACATTCAGCGACTATCAATTGGTGTCGGCACCCCAAAAGATCTGAAGAATGTGGCGTCTACCATCGATGAAGCCATAAAATTGATTGATCTTGTAAAGGCTAACGAGCGCCTTAGGCATAGCCGTCTTCCAGATCTGCCTGGAAAAGAGCTCTTGGGCTTACCAGAATTACTGGAAGAATGTTGCAATGACCTTACTGCAAATGAACAGCAGGGCGAGAACATTAAAAGGGCATCAGAAGAAATTCATAGAGCACTTAAAGACGACTACGCATCACTCAACTCCAAAACTGGATTTGTTCGCGTTGGATACTCCCCAAAGCTCGACAAGTGGCAAGCTATTCTGCAGCATGATCCTAGAGCCTCTGAAAAGCAGGGGCTACAGGCCAAATACCGCGAATTAGTAGGATCCACGCGACTTCGTGTTGTTTTCCAGACAGAAAAAGGTTATTTTCTCGATATACCGCATGATGAAAATGCCAAACTGCTGAAAACGGATCGTGGACGACGAGAGCTAGAGAAGCTAACGTTATTTCAATCTTTGAAAAACTCAGTGCGGTATCGCAGTGAAGAGTTGCAACTGCTAAATCACGAACTTGCAGAAGCCGCAGTGGAGGTAGAGCGCGTGGAGAACAACATCTTTGCATCATTGCGTGACCAAGTTTTGATCGTGCGAAATGAATTGCAATCCATGGCTCATGCCATTTCCCAAATAGATGTTGTCTGTTCTCATGCTCAAGTGGCTCTCGACCGCAACTTTACCCGACCACTACTGGATGGTAGTTGCGAATTGCATGTTAAAGATGGTCGACACGCTGTGGTCGAAGCTGCGCACCTTCGAGGTTCCAACTCTCGTGGTGTGCGGTCTTTCGTGCCCAATAGTCTGCATCTAGCAGAAGCCCCAGTCGGATCGTGCTGGTTGCTTACAGGCCCTAATATGGGTGGAAAGAGCACCTTTCTACGGCAAAATGCGCATCTTGTGATCCTGGCGCAAATAGGGAGCTTTGTCCCGGCAAAATTTGCTCGTGTCGGACTTGTGGACAAGCTTTTTTGTCGAGTTGGATCAGCCGATGATGTAGCGGCTGACAAAAGTACTTTTATGGTAGAAATGCAAGAGACGTCGACAATTTTGACGCAAGCAACGAGTCGGTCGTTGGTTTTAATGGATGAAGTGGGTCGTGGAACTGCTGTGAACGATGGCATTGCAATTGCTGGTGCTGTTCTTGAAGCATTATGTGCAAGACAGACCCGTACCCTGTTTGCCACACATTTTACTGCATTGATTGACTTGGTCGGAGAGACGTGTAAGAATGAGCTTCGACCCTATCGAATGGAGGTTCTTGAGCATCAAATGGAAGGGCAAGCCATACATCTCGTGTTTTCACACCGTGTGGTCAAAGGCCTTGCTTTCCAATCGTATGGTATCAATACTGCAGCTCTCGCTGGCTGCCCACCTTCAGTGATTTCGCGTGCGACGGAACTATTGGATAAACTGACAGCTTCTAGCGGATAAACCGAGATAAATCGTGCTGTACCGGTACTTTATTCGTAGGTTCTTGTGTCCCACATGATCTTCATAATCTTCCAAGTCACTCTTTGTGAACGTCCACTACGTCCACATGTCGTCCACTCGTAAGCGTACGATCTTCGTCTCGTCCCGGAAGAGCCAATTGGCCATGGCACAGACCACGACTGTCATTTGTATGCTTGAATCTCGCTTCTCGGATATTAATTTTGTTGTAGGACAGGAGGACACAGTGGGGGACCAGGTACTGGATCGTCATTTAAGTGACTTGGGCACGTCCACTACCTCTGGTCTCTTTACCAAGAGCCTGGAAGAAGCATTGCTGGCCAAAACTGCCAGCTTTGCTGTACATTCACTCAAGGACATGCCTACGACGCTACCGGATGGTCTTGTATTGGCTGCCATTACAAAGCGAGAGAGTCCAGAGGACGCAGCAATCATCCATCCCAAGCACAAAGCCAAGGGTCTCAAGACACTTAAAGAGCTGTCCAAAGGAAGCGTCATTGGCACGAGTTCATTGAGACGTGAAGCTCTGGTGAGGAGCCAATTTCCAAGCTTCAAGATCAAGACACTGAGAGGGAATATCCAGACGAGACTAGCGAAATTGAACAAGGCCGATGACTATGACGCAATCATTGTTGCGGCTTGTGGTTTCCGACGTGGAGATTTAGGTGAACGGATTGATGAGATTCTTCCAATGGACACGTTTGGATACGGTGTTGGACAAGGAAGTATCGGTGTTGAATGTTGCGCAGACAATGTAGAGGGCACTTCTACGAAGTTGCCGCGTGCTACTTAGCGCACACCTTCAGCACAAGCGAGGAAGTTGTTGGACCGTCTTACCTTCGCGTGAGAGGGTGTATGTGTGGTTGGTCGACTGCTTAAACAGTCGTATCACCAGTTGCGTCTCGCTTAAGCGAGAGTGCAACGAACAACTGACAAGTGTTCTACTTACGTCACGCAGGAGCTTTCTCAGCTTCTCGTGCGCAGTAGGCAGTATGTAGTAAATTCAAGACTGAGCTATAATCAATGAATTATAATCAGATACAAAACTTAACTACTGATTGGCTATATATGTATAAAGATCGGATACACGACTCTTTAGAAGCGTATCCCGACGCATGAGCTTGATTGTAGTGTTAAGTTTGCGAATGAAGTCCTTCTGAGACGTCGTGATGCCTAGCTTCAACTAGCGTCATCCCTTCCCATGTGAATCCATCAATGGATATCATTTTCACGAGGGTGGATCACATTTGTGTATTGCACCCAAGTGACAGGTCAAAAGTAATCATGGACACTTTTAGACCAAACATTAAGTATATTACTTAATGTTTACGTGTAACTAGATGCCCTGTTACACCATCTACCCTTCAGAACTATTTTTGCATTGTAAAACATCGCCTAGAAGGCAGAGAGACTGCAAGCCGTTATAAACGCGCTGCTTTAGTCTGCTCAATTCTCATGCCACCGAAACGTGGTAAGGCTGATGGGTCGCCTGCAAAGGCACCCATGCAGTCCATCACTAAGCGCACGCGCCGCGATTTATCGCAGCCGTCGCAAAGTGCTTCAGGCACTGAGGTGAATCTTCCATCTCACTACAATGTGGATGAAGATCTATCTCTCATTGTTGACTAAAATGAGACCACACCACTGCCATCACCCCAAAGTGGCGATGAGCAAAGCGCGTTGATGGGACATATGTCTCCATCATTTGAGGCACCCGTCCTTGAGCGAGCGTCTATGCTTCCTGCAAGCGAAGGTAAAGCCTCGTCGCTTGCGCCTACGAGCGCAGCTACTAAGACTGAGCGCGCTACTTCGAAAGGAGTAGTCGCGACTCAGTCAGATGTGACTCCTCAGGCTGATGTCTTGACAATCCATAATGGAGAGTCAGACTCAGGTGAGTGTGAGCTTAAAGCTCCACCAAGTACACCTTCGGCCTCACTAGCCCGCCGTCGCGAGGGCAGCTACATGAGTAGTGGCTTGCCACCAATGCCACCTCCATCTGAGTGGATAAACTCGAAGGGGTCTAGTGCAGCGCTTTTGCAGCGTGCAACTATAGACGCTCATAAATTTTATAGCGTCTTTCCTTTAAGGAAAAAGCAGGGCAAAGCACTTGGTCGTGCTTTCCCAATTCCAGTCGTGCTGCGTTCTAACGAAACAGACGACATATACAAAGAAGAGTTCTTACGCCGTGGTACACCGCATATAGATGCAGTGAAAAAGCGAAAGCAGCGAATCAGCTTTGCCATGAAGCGTGCGAATGATATTTTAGGTGGTAAGTGACCCCCAGTTTATTTTCGCCACGCTTCTTCAGCTAGTCCATCCGGACCTATCGGAAAGAAGCCAGCTGGTGCTGCTTAAAATAAGCAGCCACCAGCCTTGGCACGTCGACGCGCAAAGCGCCTACAGGCTCCCATGAGTCAAAGCTCGTTGGGTAACCCTTCTACAGAACCAGGATTTGGAGCTTCGCTTCACAAACCGGTGGTCCAGCAGCCTTCTAATAAGGAAGCGTGTGTTCCCTTCCGTGTCCACCAACACAGGTGGAACCTACTCACGGCTGCCTATTCTGCTGCTGTTCAGTCGTAGGCTGAGTCCACTGCGCTGAAGAGGCAGGTGACTGATCTTTGGAGTCAAGTCTCGCGACTGACTGCAGATCTACGCTCCGTAAATACGAGGTATCGTCAGGGGTATGACCGCCTGAAGACCCGTTTGGACATCTTAGAGCGACTGGTGATGAGAGACCCGCGTCAAGCGCGGAGTCCTCCTCGATCGCCGAGTCCTCTATCGCCTCGTTCGTATACGGGGAGCCTCTCGGCTTCCTCGTCGCCTGATCGGCCGCGACGCTCGACTCACAGTCGACGTCACCATCGGTCTTGTTAGACCGATGTGGATATGTGATCTCTTCTGGATCAACATACCGTTTCAGACGACCCACGTAAAATACGGGGTGCGTCTTCATATACGGTGGGAGAGTGAGCCTATAATTTAGATCTCCAACTTCTTTAACCACCATAAAGGGCCCAATGAATCGGGACAATAGCTTAGTAGTACCACCAGGTAGTAAAGAAATTGCATGTTTAGGTAGGATCGCAGTAAAAAATAGCACTTTGTCCCCCACACTAATGTGTTCATTGTTTTTGCGACCATGTTGGTCCGCATATTGTTTCTTGCTTGTCCTGTGCGCTTGCCATCGCGTCACGGACTTTACGTGTGATGGCTAATCGCTCATCCACAAAGCGCTGAGCTTCGCTCACGCTTTTAGCATCCAGCTCGCCGATGACGCCTTTAAGAGGTCGTTCATGGGTCGACGCTGTCGATAACACTATAGTGTCATCGTCAAGGAGAACTGGCATTTCTTGCCGTGATGCCGTGACCACTGCTAAACTAGCAGTGTCACTAGGGCAAACTTGGCCCTTTTTGGCATTCGCACCGAGAGAAGTGAGGGGCCATCCCCCACTAATACTTGAGCTGCGTACAAATGAGACTAGCGTTCGAGGATGACGCAGTCCATTAATATAAATCGGTGTCCCATCCGTACTGGCGTGAACACTGTTATTAAATAGCGAACTTCACGAATGGCAATTGCTTATTCCATTCTTTAGGAGTCGCTATTGTGCTCAACACATCCGCCACAACTCGATTGGCACGTTCTGTTTGGCCATCAGTTTGTGGATGATCAGCGGTTGACATGTGAAGCTTTATTTCCAGCAGCTCAAACACATGTCGCCGAAAACCCGACGTAAAACGCGGATCCCAATCCTATACTATGGACTCGGGCATCCCGTGTAGTCGATACACATGATCCAGAAACAAGAGGGCAGCCTCTTTTCCTGAGATCTTGATGCTACATGGTGCTAAATTGCACCATCTTGACCAGTAGGTCTACAAAGAAGACGAGCCCCTTCCTGCCTTTGTGGTCAAGCGGTAAGCCAAACATGAAGTCCAGACTGACCGACTTCCAACATTCAATCGGAATCGGCAGTGGCTTCAGTGGCGCACTTTTCGAAGGTACAGGCTTAATGCGCTGACACTCTTCGCAAAAGCGAATATAATTGGCCACCCACCGATATAGGTGGGGCCACCAAAATTCCTCTGGTACTCGTAAGAATGTCTTTTCACGGCCCAGATGCCCACTAGATGGCGCATCATGGCACTCGTGAAGTATCATCAGCTTGAGATCTATGTCATGAGGGACATAGATTCTCAAGGGATCACAGTCCAAAAACCCCATGAAAAATTTGAACTTAAAGTTGGTGACAGTTGATGCCATAACAGGCCATCACTGTAACTAAAGCGATTAAGCTTCGCTTTCAAGTGCGACGGAAGGGTAACCTTTCGTCCACCAAAATGATCCAACAGCAGGCGACAATGTTCGTCCTGACTGTAGCACTCCTTTATATCATAGTCCATTCAGCTCGTCACATGGTAGGCCTTCGTGGCTGCTAATGTTGACGACTCAACTTGTGCTTTCGCACGAGACATACTTTCCTGGTATCTTGCCTCAAAGTCTGGTCTGCGCGATAAAGCGTCATCCAAGACATTCGAACTTATCCGGCTTATATTGAACTTTGAAATTAAATTCAGAGAAGAATGTTAGCCGTCTCGCCATCCTAGGCGAGGGGTGAGGTGAATTTATAGCGGTATGCAGTGAAGCGTGATCCGTATAAGCTACAAAAGGTTCGGTGCCCAAGAGGTGTACCCGAAACTTCACAAAGGCATACTTAATTAAAAGTAGCTCCTTATCATGCACAGGGTAGTTCAGCTCTGCGGCTTTTAAAAGCCAAGACTGATAAGATATGACACGGTCAACGCCGTTGTCATCCTTTTGCATGAGAGCGCTGACGATTGCAAAATTGCTTGCATCGCAGACGACGCTAACGGGCTTATCCGCGTCTGGCAATGCCAAGACCGGTGCCTCTACATGAGATTGCTTCACTGATGTGAACGCATCTTCTTGTTCCTTTGACCAAGTCCATTCTGTATCCTTT